ATTAAAAAAAAAACATTTTAAAAACTTATTAGCTCTACATAAAAGAGCTAATTGTCTCAACCTCTTCCTGCTAGAAGTGGTTATGGCTTTTATTCTGTGCTTTTAGTTGTTATTTTTTATTTTAGAGATGGTTAAGAAAATTGTTATTTCTGAATTTTTGGGTCCTCTATTCTGTCATCAGTCACTAACCTTGCCTATTTCTAATATGAAGTAAAGCAGCCAGTTATCTACTCTGTAAAGTATTTCCCATTCAGCACATACAGCTTTAACGTAGCATACTCAAATCCAGTACTATTAGATTGAAAGGGCTTTTCCAGCACAGAAATCCACTTTCAACATTATTTTACCAAGTGACAGACACAGCTAAACGTGACATAACTGCTTGTTTTTTCACAGTTAATAGGATACATTTCATATTCTGCTAAAAGAGAGGTGACTGAACAGCAGAAGGGAAGGCGGCCTTCGTCCACAACCCTGGTTGCTGTGCTCTGGGACAAGCGAAGCCTTTCAGAGGGAGGAGGACCCACTTCTTCCCCCTGAGCAGTTGAGCATGTTAATCTCAAGGGAAGTCCAGGAACACAGGACAGTGTGGGGAGAAGCATTTCTGTTTCATCTCACCTAACAGACCTGACCATTCTCTATTTTAAAAGTTATACAAATCTAGTTCATTAGCTCGTATTCCATTAAGCACTTTTTCCTACACCTAGGAGGCAAGGAGGGGGTGTTGCACTTTATGTGAGAGGGGCTCAGCCTTGTCAGAGGTCAGGTCAGGAGCCAGTTGAGAACTTCAGAGCGAAGACCAGAAGACCAGCAGGCAGACCAACATTCATGCTCTTGTAGTGAGTATCTGCTGAGGACCTCCCGATCAGGGTAAGGCCTGTAGATGAAGCCTTCTTCAAACAAATGGAAGAAGTCTCATATTCACAGGCCTTCATCCTGATGGGGGACTTTAACCACCCTGATATCCTCTTGAAGGACAACACAGCAGGGCACAAGCAATCCAGATTTATGCAGTGCATTGATGACAAATTCCTGACAAAGGTGATCAAGGAGCCAATAAGGAAAGGTGCTCTGCTGGACCTCATGCATACAAACAAGGAAGAAATGGTCAAGAGCAGCCTTGGCTGCAGTGACCATGAGATGGTGGAGTTAAAGATTCTGAAAAGAGGGAGCAAGGCAAAAGCAAGACCACAGCCTTGGATTTCAGGGCTGACTCTAATCTCTTCAGAGATCTGCTTAGAAGTATCCCACAGGATACAGAGAGAAAAAGGTTCCAGGAGAGCTGGTTGATATTCAAGGATCACTTCCTCCAAGCTGAAGAGAAGTCCATCCTGAGAAATAGGAAATCAAAGGCAGGAGGCCTGAATGGATGAGCAAGGAGCCCCTCACTGAACTCAGACATAGAAAGGAAGTGTACAAGAGATGGAAGTAGGGGCAGATGGCCCAGAAGGCGTACAAAGATGCTGTCCAATTCTGCAGGGATGGGATTAGGAAAGCCAAGGTTCACCTGAAGTAGAATCTGGCAAAGGCCATGAAGGGCAACAAGAAAAGATTCTACAAGTACATAAACAGCAAAAGGAGGAGTAGGGAAAACATGAGCCTGCTGCTGAACAGGACAGGGGATCTGGTGGCAAAGGTCACAGAAAAGGCTGAGGTACTGAATGCCTTCTTCACCTCAGTCTTTACTGGTAAGACTGAATTTCAGGATTCCCAGACCCCTGAGACCAGAAGTCTGGAGGAAGGAAGACTTACCCTTGGTGGAAGAGGACCGGGTTAGGCAGCACTTAAATAAACTGAACATAGGTAAGTCCATGGGGCCTTATGAATGGCACCCAGGAGTGCTGAGGGAGCTGACTGATGTCATTGCAATGCCGCTCTCAATTACCTTACCAGGTCATGGCAACTGGGAGAAGTTCCTGAAGACTAGAAGAGAACAAATGTCAGTCCTCTCTTCAAGAAAGGCAAGAAGGAAGATCCAGGGAACTACAGGCTGGTCACCCTCACCTTAGCCCCTGGGAAGGTGATGAAGCAACTACTGCTGGAAAGCATTTCCAAACACACAAAGGGCAAGAAGGTGATCAGGAGTAGCCAGCATGGATTTATAAAGGGGAAATCATGCTTAATCAACTTGATTGCCTTCTACAATGAGATGACTAGCTTTGGGGATGAGGGGAGAGCAGTGGATGTTGTTTACCTCTACCTTAGTAAGGTTTTTGACACTGCCTCCTGTAGCACTCTCACAGATAAACTGACAAAGTATGGGTTAGATAAACAGACAGCGAGGTAGACTGAGAACTGTCTGAACAGCCAGGCCCTGAGGGGTGTGACCAGTGGCACAAAGTCCCATTGGAGGCAAATCACTAGTGGTGTACCCCAGGGGTTGATAGTGAAGCCAATACTATTCAATTTCTTCATTAATTACCTGGACAATGGGAAACATTGTGCCCTCAGCAAGTTTGCAGATGACATAAAACTAGGAGGAGCAGCTGATATATCAGACGGGTGTGCTGCCATTCAGAGGCACCTCGACAGGCTGGAGAAATAGGTCAACAGGAACCTCATGAAATTCAACAAAGGGAAGCACAAAGTGTGGGGAGGAATAACCCCAGGCACCACTGCACACTGGGGACCAGCCAGCTGGAAAGAGGAGAATCTGCAGAGAACAAACTTAGGATCCTGGTGGACAGCAAGATGACTACGAGGTAGCAATGCGTCCTTGCAGCAAAGAAGGCCAATAGCATCCCGGGCTGTAAAAGGAAGAACGTTGTCAGCAGGCTGAGGGACATGATCCTTCCCCTCTACCCAGCACTGGTGGGGCCACACGTCAAGGGGGCAGTTCTGGGTTCCCCAGTACAAGAGATGTAGCTACTGGAGAGAATCCAGTGAAAAGCCAGGAAAAGGGATATCTTTTATAGGGGGAGAGGCTCAGAGTGCTAGGGCTGTTCAGTCTGGAGAAGGCTCAGGGGAGATGATATCAATGTGTATAAATACTGGATGGGAGGGAATAAAGAGGCAGCCAGACTTCTCAGTGGTGCCCACTGACAAGACAAGAGGCAACAGGCACAAACTAAACCACAAGATATTCTAGCTGAGCACAAGAAAAAACGTTTTTACTGTGAGGGCGGTCAAACACTGGCACAGGCTGCCCAGAGAGGTTGGGGAATCCCCATCCATAGAGGTATTCAGAACTGGACAGGATCCTGGGCAACTCTCTCTCTGACCCTGCTTGAGAAGGGGGCTTGAACTAGATGACATCAGAAGGTCCATCAACCTCAATGATTCTGTGATTCTTCCTTCTTTCTTAGCCCTTGAAATTCAGTTCTCTGATAGGAACTCCAACTTAGTAAATTTTTTCCTTCAGACCGAATGCCTTACTTACATTCAACAGCACACATTTCCACAGAAATCACTTGGACATAAAAATTGATCTTTACTCTAATCAAATTATTAAATGCTCTCAAACACTGTATTTGAAATGGTCTTAGCTCATTAAGTCCTGCTACAGTTTAATTTAAGAGCATGCCATGAATATAAAAATCAAGAAACATACTGTATCCTGAGCTGGGCTTGTGGTCGTCTTTGAAAAATCTCTTATACACAGTCTTACCTCCACACACTATGAGTACAATTACATCCACATGCTTAAGATCTCTCATTGATATCTGAGATACATCTGAATGAACACAGTAACATTAAACTTTTGCACTAAATATACGTCAAAGCTATAGGCAATTATATATATATGTGCACAGACACAGACAGATAAAAACATGCAAAATTACACACAGTAATATTTCTTACTGCCAGTTCAGTAAGCAAAGACATTATTTGATCTTTTAACCTTTTTCAGTTAATTGCTCATTCTGCAGCAGAGGCCTGTTCTCCCCTACAGACATTAGGATCATAGAGAAGTGAGCAAAATATAAGTCTCGTCCCTTGTATTTATCAATTAATTAGCAGATTAAATCAAGATTAAATAAAAAAATGATCCTACCACCTTCCAGAACTTTCTCAGTATTTATCTAAGATTGGGGGGGGTTAAACCTCCTGAATGATTTCATTATGTAACATATATTATAGATGAACTGAAGAGTTTTCCACTTTTTATTCTAATCTTATATATCTGCTATCTGACCCATCATGGGGGGATCAAAACATTTTTCACCATAGAGAGAGAGAGACCAGAGAAAATCTGCATCTCAAAACAATGACGCACAGAAAATAGAAGAGGTATTCTTGGAAGGAAGCGAAGGATGGCAGGGAGGAGAGAGCTTTTGTAATACACTTCCTTAGCCTAAATAGCAATAATGTCTGTAAGAAGCAAAATCCAAATTTGATCTTGTAATAGTGAAATTTGAAAATATCTTAATCCGTAGTTATAAGGAGATACATCTGATCAAGGCTTAAGCCAGAATTCAACTGGGATTTTTGCAAAGTTACACATAGATTGGTACTCCAATTCATTCATTGCAGTCTAAATATCTAATCCTCTTCCAGTGAAATAAATGGGAAACATTCCAAAATAATCAATAGAAATTGGATGAGATCCATACAGAACAATTATTAAAGACCAAGGAGTCTACTCTGTGCTGCAGATTGTTTATTTTTAATTACACAAAATGTATGTGCAAAAAACTTAAACCTGACAGCTTCCCTAAATACCAAATTTTCCGTCACAAAATAGTCACGCATGCAAACAATATAAAAATATACCTAGAAAAACACCTAGAAAAAACACTGATGCAAACTTTTTTTTTTAAATATATACAGGCATCAAAATACCTTATATATATATATATATCTTTTAAAAATGCTGTGTTTTAAATATATCCTGAAGTCACTTTTCAGACCACTTTCAAACAACATTCTTCCTGCTTGAATTTTTATTTTCACACTTGGTCCTGCCTATTTAAATGTTCATGGAAAGAGAAACCAGTTCTACCTGCAGACTCGGGAAACAAGTCTGAAAATATCTCCTCCCCTTATTTTACAACACTCACCAGTTTGCCACCAGTGGTCCAAGACAGGTACCTTGAAGATCTTTTTTGACCATTCTAGCGTGTCCACATCACAGTGCTCACCAGCTACAAATAACGTTCTGAACCTTCAAATAAAAATAAAAAAGTATATATCTTGATCTGGATGGGGAAAGGAAAACAAGATAACAAATTCACTAAATAGCTCTGGTCAGTGTCCCAGATAAAGAGAAAAGGGAAGGGAGGACTCTTACTCTTTGTATGCTCCTTCCTACTAACAATTAGAATCTTAGCAATATTAATTTATGCTACTTTATACATCACGTAAAAGAAAGTTTCTTTTCTGAATGCAAAGACCTTGGGATACCAGAGGCAAGCAACTGTCAATGGAAGTAAAAAACAGTTAAATTCTCTGTACACAGGAACTAGGGAGATCTCTGTTAAGCAAAACATAAGAATGAACTACCAAAAAAGGGTCAGAAACAGATATCAGAAAAATTAGTAAAGAAATAAACAAAACTAAAAGGAAATACCTGTATCATAACTCTTAGTTTTAAGTTGTTAATAATGTTCCACTTAAACAGATTTTGGTATTTTTGAACTGTTGAGTCATCCTTTTATAGACAATTAGAGATTTGTTTTGGGGGAAACAATGGGACATAAAGCCATTTTCCTGTGGAGAGGCAGGCTATATACATATAAACAAACAAACAACAAAAAAAGTAATCCTACTAGATAATGCCAATCAGAACAACATTCAGCAGCCTTGGGTCCCTGATCATAGTACTAGACTTCAGCTCATTTGACTGGACATTCCACAGCCAACTTTGGCAGAGAAGAGATGCAACGTCTGGCAGTCCTGACAGACGTGATCTGCATGTTTGTACCATTAAATTAGGCAGTGCTATATAATCGGGTATTAAACCCACACACAGACTTTAACTTTGGAATCTTTTATCGGATGTTTAGTCACACTTTATCATCCTTCATTAAGCATTACAAATTCACTTCACACCCTGTTTAGAATGATAAGCTCCTCTACGTCAACGGTAGCTTTCTTAAATATGACTATCAGCACTCAGAAGCTAGACGTTACTGTACATTACTGTGTGCTGCTAAGGTTTTGATCTTTCTAACGCTCGCACAGTAACTTCATTCATGTCATAGCCGATTTTTTGCACTTATTTCCTAACAAGCAATTTAAAACCCTGTTAAACTGCATACAGTGTGGCGTCACCTTGGTACTGAGTGCAGTTCTGGGCCCCACAATTTAAGAAGGATGTTCAGGTCCTTGAATGTGTCCAGAGGAGGGCAAGAAAGCTGGTGGCAGGGCTGGAAGGCATGTCCTGTGAGGAGCGGCCGAGGACTTTGGGTTTGTCTAGTTCGGAGAAAAGGAGGCTGAGGAGCGACCTCATTGCTCTCTGCAGCTTCCCGAGGAGGGGACGTGGGGAGGGAGGTGCTGAGCTCTTCTCTCTGGGATCCAGTGATGGGACACATGGGAATGGTTCAAACCTGCGCCAGGCGAGGTTTAGGCTGGACACTAGGAAGCATTTCTTTACCGCAAGGGTGGTCAAACCCTAGAAAAGGCTTCCTAGAGAGGAGGTCGGTGCCCCAAGCCTGTCAGTGTTTAAGAGGCATTTGGACAATGCCCTTAATAACATGTTTTAACTGTTGGTCAGCCCTGAATTGGTCAGGTAGCTGGACTAGATGATCCTTGTAGGTCCCTTACAACTGAAATTATTCTATTCTACAGTCATGGATTCTCACGACACTGACCAGACATTGTCACCTAATAAGAAGATACTGAGGAAAGAATCATTTATCATCTTGCCCCCACACCTCCAACAAAGAAATAAGCAATCCTTTTCAGGTAGAAACACAGAACTTTTAATTAAAGGTTCACGATGTGCAGATGAAAATGAATGGCCAGCTAAACTTGGATGAACTGCTGATTTATATTCAATACTTTGTCATTAGTACATGCCTAGTTTTATAGTCTGTGTTGTGACAGCATGATTTCTATTGAGAGCAATGCATAGTATTTATCTTACTTGGCTCTTATTATCGAAAAAATAAGGCTATGCTGAACTAGTTCTCTAGGCTTCTTCTATAGTCCACAAAGAACAAGAGGCAACTTTAGAGTAATTTACCTTTAAGAGACTCAAAAGGGTAAGGTTTATTTTTTACACAACAAAAACAAAATGAAAACCAAAATGAAACAAAATCCAAGGCCCTAGAGCAATACTAACATATGACTAAGCCACAGTATAGAGACTTTGTTAAGCTACTGTTTAAAAAAATAGCAATACATAGAGCTATTAAGTTATTGCATTATAACTTGAAGGGATGTTCCTGCATCTCTAAAAAAGGAAATAAGGAATGTCTGAAAATTTTGGACATTCTTATTCTGCTGCACAGTTAAACATGTTCCTATTTAAGCAAGATTTTGGAACAGAAATCAGCCATTGGGGAAAAAAATCTAAACCAGAGGGAAAATTAAGCCGTAACATTTCTGGTTTCATTTTACAGAAAAATCACAACGGAAAACTGCATCTCTTTCCCTGGAAGGCTGGTGCGGCAATCTGAAACACTTCAGCCATGTCAGTGCCTGTTTGTAACCACCAGGTAGATGCAATCCTGTCATGAGGTATAATGTGAATTCTGAATGCAGAGATGCCACACACATGCCCTATTACTACAGACCAAAGAACTTGCTTCCCTTCTGTAGTATCTGCACAGGGTGGGCTCATGCCTTCCCTCTCTCAAATTCTCCCTACTCAGCATATGACCAAGACAGACAGCACTTTCATTTTACCCAGAGATGCAATTTAAAACCTCAAAGAGTAGAGGGAAGAGAGGAAAGATAAGGGGCAAACACAGATTCAGACTCCACATCAGAAGAACTCTGTTTACTAGCAAATAACCTCTTTCTTTCTTTCTTTGAGTGAAAGTGTACAGGTATACTCACACTACAAGTGACTAAACATTTCACAAACAGCCTGTCATGCCACGAGAAACTGCAGACAGACTCTACCAAGCACTGCAACAATCCTCGAGGCTTCCAAGATGACAGAATGCCGAAGATATGAATGGAGCTTCATGTGGCCCAACATCAGACCCTGGGATTAAAAATACTTCTCCAAAACGTCCCCTTGTTAGGATTGCAGCACGCTCTACCACAGCCAGACCGATACCAGTGACATTTTGTTTCGCTTCAAGTCTTCACACAGTCCGTTATGAAAGAAGACAACTGCTGAACAAAGGATTTGATCCTTGTCCTTCAGCAATGGACACAAACTGCATTGATTTTGTAAAACCTGTAGACATGTGGCCACAAAAAGAATTCTTAGATATGGTGGGCATGAAACAAATTTCACTTCAGAGGCATTTAGAAATTTAGAAAGAGAACTATGAGATTCATCTTTCCATGTAGATGAAATCCAGAAAGCAATCTAGAAAATTATGAGAAAAAACAGAGCAAGTAACTCAAGGGTGTCAGAAATGAGAAACGCACAGATCAGCATGTCTGACCATAGAACTGGGAATACCTCTAAGAGGGAACCTAGAAATTGACCTCTCATCTAGAGACCAAAGACATCCCATAACAAGGCTGCCTGAACCAAAAAGCATACTTTGAATATTCATAGTCCATTCCTCTCCAGAGGATAGGCACATCCCATTAGCATAAAAGGCAGCCTCTCACAGTGTAAGACTAGTGACCTACTTGCCGTGTAGATGCAAGGCAGGAGAATGTACAGAGTAAAGCTACATCTGGAGACAACATAAGTAAAACATGGGATGAAACTTCATGAAGTGCAATAAGCCACATGCCCTAAAATTGAACATTTTTTTTCTCACAGTGATGCTTGGCCTAGACATAAAAAAATTTATGAGTTTATTGTCTTTTAGATCCACTTACAGATCCATACAATACAGGAAAAGAAACGTCCACAAGCAAAAGATATTGGGAACTCTAATCACCAAGGTATGGACCCCTGCACCAGCTAAATATAACAAACTGACAATGGTCTAATCTGTGAACTAAGTAGAAGTAACAATCACAGAGGTAGTCATCATCATAACTTTGATATATGAAAATCAACTTACTGCATATCTAGTTACAAAGTTACAAAAGTCAGAAGATCTTGAAAAATGTTACCATGTCAAATTTGAACATGCAGATGAAAGAATTCAATTTCCTTAATTTCAGAACAGCATTTCGGCCAGCCCTCCTTTCTCACACCCCAAGATGGCTTGGAGTGGCTTCTTTCTTGGAATAGAAGGCAGGGGGTCAAATGTATAAGCAGCTTTCACATCAAATAAGCATAGTTTTCTGTACTCATACATATACAACATCATTTTGGTAAACTGCTTTCTGAGCACATCTCCCACATTAGAAGATAATGATTGTAATGAGTGTGAGCCCAATCAATATCTTGCACCTGAATGCTTTTTATTGTAAAGCACAAGCCGTTGCTGATAATTACAGTTAATAGCTAACTGGAAGTTATAACACAGATAAAAGTTTATGATAGAAGAGAACAAAATACTGTATAAGTAAAAACCACAAGTATGTACTTCATGAAAAGTTTTGTGAGACTCATGGTCACATGCAGGGCACTCCTGTTAAGCACTGCTCAATGTACATTATATGGAACATTCTGTAATTAGGCATGTTAAAGACAACATTTCAGCTATGATGTAAAAATTCAATTTATGAATTCATTAACTTTATAAACTGCTGAAAAATTCTGTGAAGTGTCCTTGTTTTAAAAACAGGGCTATTAAAACACCAAGAACTTAAAAGACTTGACAAGTTAACTAAAAAAGTGAAGACATCATGTTATCCCCTGAGCCAAAAGCAGAATTCCTCTCTTCTGGCAAATTTACAGCACAAAAGCATCAAAAAGACTATCAGAGCAAAGTGCCGCAAGCCTAACAAAGCATAAGAACTACGGAATTATTTTCTCCTATCAAGCAGTATAGCAAGAGAGAGGTGGCAATGGTTATAAAATGTCCCATTCTTAAGTGGACTGTCAAAAAATTGTTCACACTTCAAAGTATGTCAGTGCACCTGTTATTGCAATCATCTATCACTGCAATGCAGTTAATCGGGAAGAAAGATCTTAAAACCTCTCTGTTAAATAAATATGTCCTAAGCTGTTTTTCTGAAAAACTACATTTCGAACATAGAATTCAGTGCAATCAAGCTTTTAGGCCCTATTCAAGAGTCCAGCAGAGTGGACTTGAAGTATCACCCGATATAGGGGACAGATCAAGGTCCCTAATGGCCCTGATGCAATCTAAATTGTTCAATACAGGATGTACATTTTGGTGTCACTCCAAGCACGAAAGAAACCACATCTCCAAACTATTTCTCAAAAGCAGAAGTGTTCACAGGTTATTCACATGAGTAATAACCTGAGCTGAACTTTTCCACATTAAAAGATCATGGAAGTGTTTTTAATTCTGGAATGCATATGCCAGTTTTTTTCTGGCAAAGAAAAACTCTATCTCTATCATGTTAAATAAGCTTTTTTTCCTGAAAAGACAGCAAGGAAGGTTCATTTGCATTTCTTAACATAAACTGGAAATAAAGAGCTCTTACTAATTCTTAATGCACCTGGAGACTGCAGACACCTAAACATGTAAAATAAGGAAGTAATATTTTCAGGTCTTCTGATTTTTCTCCATTGATGTGTTTGTTTTCCTCCCTGAATAGACTTTATCTTGGTCATGAGGGTCCAAACACTGGAGGTGTGGGTGACGGAGTCAGAGAGACACAGAACACAGTTGCAGCTCAGCTCCTTCTCATGGTGCGGGTGAAGGGGTGATCCACAAAGGCTCTTCATGAACACAGCTCAGGACTCACAGGAATGGCCATACATGATCTACTGCAGCCCAGACTAGGGGGTAGCAGGCAGAACTGCATAATGTACTTCAGTCATCCTAAATTCTGGGTCTTAATCACATATCCTCTAGCAGCATATGTGAGACATCAATTATATGAGAAAGTATTTTGTTCTAGCAGTTTTTGAATTTGACACTTTAATTTCAAATCCTCTTGTGCCTGTGTTATGAGACAGAAAATGGGAGTTTCTAATCTACTTTACATTCATTATTTCTGCACAGTTTTTATGCAGTCTCATATTTCTTTCTAAAGCAAGTGCATTAATATCTGGTATCAGATGAACAAGCTAGAATCTCTAGGTTCTCTCAATATAAAATGGCAGAACATTCATAATTGACCAAAAAGTGAAGAAAGCCAAGTAGGCTATGGAGTACAAACTGCTTGTACGTTAATCTAATCTGCCGAGTTGTTGCCCCATTTCATGTAAAACTATCAGTTGTCAATCATTTGGAAATCAGACCTAACCAGTTCATAACAATTAAGTCAATTAAAGGATGAAGTGTGATTCCAAACATGGGAAGAATTAATAGCTTGCTGTCATGGAGTTACCTCATGAAGACAAGAACAGATTCCAAAAGCTGAACAGAATACCCCCAGGTACATGAGGGTCACAGAATTTGGATGCTACTTGTTTTTCAAACACAACAGCCAGCAGTACGATCAGACAGCCTGCTTAGCAGCACTGTGTGTTATCAAAAGCCTAGTCTTTAGATCCTCTAGCAATATGTGGTTGAACAGGGCTTTTATCCTACAGTATTATAAATTAAACATCTCTTTTACTGTTACGCACGAGCCATGTTTAAGACATAAGTGACATTTTGTGTCAAAGGCAAACATATTTCAAGATTTGACTCCAATAGCCAACAAGGAATTTGAAGCATACACACTAGAACCTTTGGAAACCTCACAATATAATTTTGGGTGGAGACCAGTGATGCCACCAATATCAGTTCTTAACAGAAATTTATTTTACTTATGTCATTTCAAAAGAACCCAAGTCTGCTTATAATTCAGTCTACTCCTGTAAATCAAGTACTCCCTTGTATACTAGAAGCTGGCATTGCCTACCAACTCTGTACCTTATCAGTAATTGTCTTTTTTAACAGGATTTATTAAAAGTGACATTAACCTTTATCAGTTTTTTAATGGAATTTTTCAGGAATGAAATGTACTGTGGTGGAAATCTCTTTCAGGACTGCATTTTTGGACATGTGTTTTGGAGTCTCTAGAGTAAGTAAGGCTACATCTTAGCCCAGGTAGCAGAAAGACATCTCATTTCAATGATTCTGCACCGTGTAACAGAGAAGAAAGCACCATAGATCAAGTAAATGAACTAAAAGTAAGACTGATTTCATACTAAAACTGACAAAATTAATTTGACCTTGGATGGGAAAGTCCATCCAAATACCACCCAAAAGCAAGGATTTTCCTAGAATGGAAATTTTAATCACCTGTTGGACTCCCATTTCTTAACAACTGCACCTACTAGATACTAAATGCTGCACTACAAGGTTTAGTAAAGAGAAGTCACGGACCACAAAATTACATGGCCCAAAGCTGAGTGAATTATGAGACAACTAAATCTGCAGACAAATGGAGAAGCTCATGCACTGAACAGGAATTATGAAACACCTCTTTACATCTGGGGCAACTGGTATCAGCAAGGAGATTCTTATCTGGAATTCTCATTTGGCCAGAAAATGCAACAACTTACAGAGCAGGTTAGCAGATTTTTCCATTAAATGAATATGCTAAAGGCATACTAAGTCAGTTTAGTCATTGCCTAAAAAATGCTGAGGAACAGCAATTAAATTTTCTAGCATCTGAATCACTTTCTTGTGACATCACAGAAGAATAGTGCATTAGGGTCTCAAATGAGCTTGTTTCCTATTTCAAGGAGAGGTAAGGATTGATGACAGCACTCAAAACAGATGGACAAAAGTAATGATGAACTTGTGATGAATACCTCAGGAATAAATCCAGCTTACTTTCCTGGGCAATTAAGAATGTGGAGGTCTCATGAAGCTACATGGCTTTGCATTTCCCTCTGGACAAGTGTAATAAAAGATGTTCTTATGACTGAATACTGCCTATACAGTCTGACACAGTCCTTGTTGAATAATTTGCTCAGCATCAAACTACAAGATTAGATGTGGTCCAAACCCACATATTTTTCATTTTTATAATGTTTGCCATAAGATATAGAAACTTGGTCTGTAGAAGTACTAAACGCTCATGGATGCAAGCCAGTGTGAGAGGCATTTTATTAATAAAATGCTAGTAACACATTTTAACCATATAATGCGAAGAACTCTGAAATAGTGGTAGTTCAGTGGCTCAGACTAGGTATTCAAAACTAACAGAAGACTTTGACCTTAATCTCTCTGTGCCTCAGCTTCCCATCTGCAAAATACAGATAATACCACTCTCTCATCTCACAGGGGATTTGTGAGGATGAACTCAGTCATGATTTTGAAGCATGCTGATAGTATAGTGATAAACACCTTAAAAACAGTACAAGATAGGAAATAGCTCAGTCTTTGGAGCACATAACCATAAACAGTAACTAAGTTATGGGGAGATAAACAAAACATTAACTAGCTGCCGATTAAACGAACACTAAAGATCCTGTGCGCTCAGTAAAATGAGAGGTCATGTGGGAAAACAGTACGGGGTCATGCAATCCAAGACTGTATTACAGGGTATAAGCAGAGTGGAGTAAAATTAAGGTTGAGCAAGCAATCCTAACCCAGTAAGACCTCTTAACCTTAGAGTCATAATCTTTTCAACAGCTTTCATCTCCTCTAAACTATCAATATAAATTTACAAGCAAATACACGTACACCTAAATTGTCATGAACACATTTAAATTCTGCTATACAGAGGTGGGCAAAGCCCCAGACACTCTGCTATTCTTAGTTCATCCAGCCTGTTTCTGTAAGAAACTGCTTCCAGTGTATCCTTAGTTCACCTTTTCAGAGAGTACTGCTTTCCCAAGGCTCCCTCAGGGTCCTGCTGACGGATTGCTCTAATTGCAGTTGGTGAAGTAAAGAAGGCAGCTACTTCATGCTCTGCTAGCACGCGGAAATAGGCACCAGCATCTGGCGTTCCCACAGGCTTCCCCTATGGAGAGAATAATTTAAAATGTCACAGGATAAAAATACCTCATAATTCCTTGACAGTTCAAGGCTTGAACACGTAACAGTAGTGGTAGCACAGCAACAGAAGTAATTTCAAGTAAGACTTCAAAGAAAGCTTTGTTAAAAATAATAATACCGCAAGCATATTCACTTGTAGAAATAAATTCACAAGCTTTGGGCACAATCTCTTGCATGAACACAGCACATACTAGCTGCTATTTAGAAAAATAGGACAAACAGACATGCGAATGAAAAGACAGCCACAAAGAGCTGTTATTACACTGGCAGCAGAGACAGTCATGTCTACATCTACCCTTATCGCGAAGCAGCCTCTAAAACACCCAGAGTCCCACTGAACTAGGAGTCTCTGGACACAGTGGCACTGCAGCTATATCTCCATGAACAGGCCTATGGGACATAATAACAGCTTTTTCTCACCTAGAAATTTCCTCCCAATTCTGGAAAAATACCCACTTAACTGCTTACAGCTGGCTTCTTGCAACCTTTGTGCTGCTACCGCACATGAAGCCTGGAGAGAAGCTGAAGACCCCTTTTCTGTTTTAGTGTGCTATCAGACTGTGGTCTGGTTTGTGGTTGGGTTTTTTTAAAAAAACTAAACATGGTCCTAAGCTAAGGGGCATAGTCAAGAGAACTGTAAACAGAAGTAATCTGATGTGACAAATTGTCCAATGCTAAGTAATAATAATAAAAAAATAATCAAAAATACTTTCCTGTGGTGCTGCAAATATGAAAAGCAGTTGGCACAGGATCATATAATCAAATCTTAGTGTATGTAATTACCGCAGTGCATGAACGGCTCCTTACATGTTCTGAAATTATAAAAGATGATGTTAATGTGGAACAAGTTTTAGCATTACAGCTGTTGCCATAACCTTTTCACTAGAAAGGCCACACTTGGAAGAAGAACTTTGACAGAGTACACAAGTTAGGAGGGACATACACTGTTCACACTGCAAACACAGCTTTGTCAATGCTTTATGCAAGAAGCCACAAACACGGAGAAAGTTTCACCACTGAAATGTCACCACCTTTACAGCAGTTCACCAGTCACAAGACAAATTCATACCTTCACCATCCTTGTGTAAATGCAAATTTGGAACAGATAGATTAATAGGTCCGGGGGGGGGGGGCGACGACAGTATACGAACTCTTAATTAATATTTTTCATTTTACCACAATCCAAAGGAACAGAGGGATATGAATACCTTGAAGAATTTACTAAATTCAGTATTTTTATTCTGATAATGAGGCACTAGTAACACAGTAAATGCCTTTATGAAAAGGCACACTAATCAAGTTAGTTGCCCCATCCCAGCATAAAAAGCAGCATGCTGGCTGCAACGCAGGCTCACAGGAATTCATCCCTTTCCCTCTTTCCCATCTGCCCTCCCCACTGCAGTCTTCCCCAGGCTTGCTCTGCCTCCAGCTGTGCCTGAACACTGGCAAGAGCACTGATGAACCATTTGGCAGATTTAAAGCAAGACACCTGAGGTTGGATACGTACCATTGGCTTTGCAGCCCTATGGTGTGATACTGCTGGCAAGAGGAGTGCTGGAGCAGAGGATCACCATAAAAGGAAAAAAAACCAAGACAAAACAGAATGCACAATTGAAAACTCTTTTCTTTTAAAGGATGGAGCAGGCAGTAAGAAGCAAATGGAGAAAATAAACAAAAGAAACAGTTTGCAGCCCAAGTAGCAGGGAGGAGTATCATCAATGCCAAAACCCCTCTTTTTGCTAACAGCCAATCCTAAATTACCACAGAGAAATGCAAAAGAATGCTATTTGCTTGCTGAAAAAGTGAGTTACGTCCTTTTTTCTGTCAGATAACACACAGTTTCCAAAGAAAAATCTTTCACCAGACTGTCTTTAAGCATCATCCTTGCAGACTTCTTTATCACAACTTTCACGTGTTCAATACTTTTTCACAAACCTATTTATTCAAGTTGATGTCATCTCCCTATAATATTCATTATACCTGCAGATCTGTGGCCATCTGGTTAGGAGTTCAAGCCCACATGGGTAACTAACACTAAAACAAACAGTCTCAGACTCTGAAAAATTCCAACTTTCCATAAACTTCTCTTTAACTAATTACGTAATTGAACAAGTAGCAATCATCTTGGACAGCAAAAAAGCTAACTGTAGAGCAATCTGAAATTGGTTAGTCTGCCAGTAATAACGTAAGCTGTATTTTTAACCAAATGGCAATGCCCAGAGCCCATAAAAGGGCTGTGTCTGGCCCTGAGCACACCCACTCCCTCCTAGGGGCTCCGCTGCCGGTGCTCAAGGCCAGGTTTGCCATGGTGCAGCTGTGTAACCTTGGATCAGACCACCAGGAAAACAGCAGAGTTGAGAGAAGAGCTGAAAGGAGCCTCTCCTTCCTCAGGAGGTGATTTACGCTCAGGCCCTCACCCTTGGTCCCTGCTCGAGCTACGTCGCGGCCGTGCCTGTGCCTCACACCTCCAGCAAGCTCGAGCCTGAGAGCATCTTCAACGCAAGCAGCTCAACCTTCAGGAGTGCGTGGCCAGGCATGCAGGGCTCTGACAGGCTGGTATTTATGTGTCACACGTAAGCTACAGCAGCTTTGGTTTGGAAAAGTACCATTCTCAGATCTAGGAGAAAAACAAATAAAACGCAAAGAGTGGAAGGAAAGGAATAGAAAATTCACCTGACAGTTGATAGGAAATAATACCCAAAGAATAAGGCCACACTTAAAATATTCATTTAGGAAAAAAAAAAAAAACTGGCCCAGCTGTAAAATATTGTTACTGATTCTGCAGAAAAACTTCCCTGTGCCTTGGCAGCTGTTCACAGTTTAGCAAATGTATAAACAAAAACTGACATAAGCAAAACAAATCTGAGACAGTGCAAATTAATTTCAGAGCCCAAAAAACTACAAATAAAATTGCCAAAGAGAGTTCCCATTCATTACACAAAAATTTTAAGAAGTACTGCAAGATGCCATGAGAGGCTTATTACCACATGCAATTTTGCTTTTTAAAAAGCTAGCAATATAAACAATAAAGCACAGGGCAATTGAATTCAGAATATGCTGACAGATTGCTGAGTCAACTGGGGACTATGAGCAAATGAGATGCTTCCAGTAGATTTCTGCAGGGATCAGTTCAAGACCTGTTGCTATTCAGTATTTGCATCAATACTGGAGATGAAACTTTATTTTAAAAGTTACTGGCAATATCTCTGGTTGGCAGGAATTGAGAGCATGGTAAACAAGAACAAGGCAGTCAGAAAGAGAGTGATCTGCCTCACCTAATTTAAAAAAAGAAAAGTAGAAACAGACACTTCTTGTATCAGCTAGGAGAATTCAAGTAGAAAAGACTTTCTTTCAATAACCTACCACAAGACTCTGAGACAGACAGACAGATAGGAACACCTTTCTGGAAGTACCTAGATTTAGCATGTAATTTATCTGATGTCTACCAGCTGAGCAGACATCCTGAGGCAGAAATGTGTTGATGGCTAACACATGATTACAAAAGCAGATTCATAGTCAGGCAGCAAGAATGATCAAGGGGATAGAAAAGTTCTCCTATGCAGAAAGTCAGAATGGATTACTTGAGGAAAAAGACATATAAAATGCACTATAATAAAATAACCAACAATGCATCAGTAACAGCGCAGCAATTCCCTTTCTGTCCGACCCCTAACAAGGGGCTGTTCAATTAAAGATAAATTTAAAATCATGAGGCGGAAATTCTCTCTGCATAGCAAGTATTATACATGGAACTCATTGCCACTAAAACCTGTTGATGCCAAAGCACACACAAAATCCTGACATAACAGGATTCAAACGAATATATTCATAGAAGCGTTTACCCTTCTGCTGCTGACCCTGCTGCCAAATCTCCACTAAGGACTTGAGATGATACGTCCTACTGAATTTGCTCCACAAATACAATCAGTATGGACGACGGCAGAAAGATCACAAAACTGGCAAACTTCAGAGACAGTGCTTGCTTTGTAAGCTGATGATAATGGCTTACAAGAACTGTAGAAAGGCTGGATGCCTCCAAGAACTGTGCCAGATGAGAGTAGTCAAACCTACTGCTGCTGTTGTGCACCCTGCAGTTTTGTTGCGACAGCAGATTTGTGTACCCTGCAGATTTGTTGGGGACTGGAAGGACCCCAGTGAGCATAGTGAGGAAGGCTCCACGTGCACAGCAATGTCTTGCTACAGCTCTGTGTGGGACAACAGCTACTTCTCTGTCCTAGACCACCCAAATGAAGTCCTTAATGCATGGCTCCTTGGCAAGCGTGGGCACCCTCTCCCTTATCCTAGCTCCAATTCAAAGTGCCAAGCACTGGAACTACAATGCTGCCTTCTTCCTGACATGACAGGGAGCAGCTAGGCTTCCTCTTCACGCTTCCCTGTTGCTTACAGCTTGTGATCCCATTAGCAAGAGCAATCCAGAGTGGGCTCTGAGACTTCAAGTAGCTTATTTATAGCTGAAGTTTGTCATGCCTTGGAGAGAAACAATCCAGGACAGATTATAAAAAAAACAAACAAACCTTGCTGTATTCAAAGGAATTCATTACCGTCTTCACATTCCCGACAGTGGTGTTACAGCAAGTGAAAATTGAAAGCACATAGTTTCCATAGCAAATGTTAAAACGACACATTGTCACCTACTAAGTAATTTAAAAATAAACGAATCTCTTTAAGAAGTGAGGGTATGAAGTCAGCAGAGTTTATATTCAATAGTGGTTGTCTCGAGGCAAAGGGTATGAGGTATTCTTTCCCTGTACCTAAGCAGCATAGTGATAGGCCCTAACCCAAAAGCCATCATTAGGCAATCATTTAGGAAAAACTTTGACTACAAATTTATGAATATTCACTGTTAAGACAGTCTTCTGAGCAGAGGAAAAATTATACACTCTGTCTTTTGTAAAGATTATTTTTCTCCCTGTGTATACAGAAGCCTGCCTTCCTTTTCTTCCC